GTTGGTGCAGCCTAATAATACTGAAAGTGTTCAGGTGAACAGTGGGTTAATGCAGCCTGGCAAAAATGCAAATGTGTGTGTAATTCAGGAAGCACCACCAGAGCAAAGTGGTGGATGTGAGGTATTGCAACCTGCAGGTGTTACCCAAGTCTGACATGATCCAGAGTGATTTGTGCAAGGGATCTACAACTAAGCCCGTCTATTCTTATGTGTCTCCTTGGGCGGATGGTTCGGTGCTGAGGAGCACTGGCGAATTGAGCACATATACAATGGATTGGGATAGTTGGGGTAAAAGGCTAATCTCGTTGATAGATGAAGTTTTTATGCAAAAAAATAAGGTGGACACTGTTTCTGCTGTGCCAGCAGGAGGATCTATAGAACAGCCTATAGATAAGGGCGTGTATACAGCAGAGACTTTGTCTGTGACCCACAAAAGTGATGTTGGCATGGAGTGTCAAAATGATGTTGTCACTGGGAATGATCAGGGGCAGCTTGTGAATGCTGAGATGTTGAGAGTGTGCCCAGCCCCATGGCAGCGCTCTGGTGGAGCACCAGGCTGTGGTTATCTCCAGCTTGAAGAAGGTCCCTTTAAAAATTTCAACTTCTCAAGTCTCAGCAGGTGAGTCTCTCAGCGTTCCCAGTGCCCTAAATATGGTCAGGAAGGTCTTGGTTTAGAGTCAAGTGGTTGGGTTGTAACCAAAGTATTAAAGGAGATGCTTGAACTTTGGAATGTACAACTAATGTATACTGGGGTGTCTCCTTCACAGTCGGATGGTCTGGTACTGCGGAGTACCACTAGGTGGAGCACCGAATGGCTGGCTGTACAGATCAAAGGGAAACAAGAAAGTTGTTTGTTTCGGAATTTGTTGATGGTGTTAAAAGTTGTATCAGGGTATGCTGCTGGACTACCTGTCAATGTATTTGAGAGAAGTTTTGGAGAAATGAGAAATGAGTCAAAGGTTTCACCTCCTAACAGCCAGGTGGGAAGCATTTCTGCTGCTATAGTCCAGGAAGGTGCTGGTCAGGGTCAGTGAAGGGCGTGTGGACAAACCACATGAGATGGAAGGGCTGAGCATGGACCAGAGAACAGCAGAGATCCTGACCATTTCTCAAATGGATGTGCATAAAGAAATCAGGGTCATTGGGCCAACAAAGAGGTTTATGTAGCAGGTCTGATAAGACACCTGACATACAGGGACAAATGGTATGTGAAAACTGGCAAAATGGATCAGAAGAGAGCTCATCTGTACAGCATTTGGATACAGATCCAAGTGGTGTAGAAAAAGTTAAAATGGTGGTACAGCCACCTGCAGATTGCATGACACCAGGTGAAGTGGCATTTTGTGAGGTTCACGTGGGTGATGGCTGCCCTATGGTGTGTGTGCCCTCTGCAGACACTGTCCTAACAAATGCTGGAAAAGATATTGAAAGGTGTTATATTGACTGGAATATAACTGTTCATGGTAAACTGAATGCTGTGGTAATGAGTCATGCAGGTTTGATAGCTAAAGGTACAAGAAATCAGGGGGGTGCTCCTGGTACAAATACAGTAGAAATGGTTCCCCTACAGCCTTGGGACAGTAATACTGAGAGAGGTATTAGGAAACCTGAGCACCTGAAGCAAAGGGGCAGAAAGGTCGATAGAAAGGCCAGGGGGACCCTGTTAAGATCTCAGGAGAGAAAGTGTTTATGGAAATGCACCCGGAAAAAGAATAGGGAAGGTCTGAGTAGAGCCCATAGCAGAGTGACAATGGGGCTTGGGGAGAGACACCAAAGGAGTCATTGGGTAGAGTTCCCCTTTAGGAAAGGTATGGTCAGACCAGATTGGACCCCTATAAGTGAGAGCTGGCACAGAGGTGCCAGAAGATATAAGTTGTGTGTTCTGCCCCCTACGGGGTCAAAACAAAGGTGGGGATATGTGACAGTGTGGCAATCTGTCACCCAGGATTCTCAACAAGGCAGGTTGAGGGGCTCCAGGGTAAGTGTTTGATACGGAGGAAAGTGGCTTTTCCCTTTCCTCCTTTGTTTGTAAGGTCCATTTTGAGATCTGGAGCCTGGAGATTTCAAAGAGATCTCTTGATCTTGATGGGAGGGATGAAATCTCCAATCCTGGGACCAGGTTTTGGGAATGGCCAGGAGACTGATGGCACAGGTGTGAGAGAGAGTCAGGATCAGGGTTCTGGGCTCAACCCCGGTAGATAGGAGTCAGGAGGGCTCCACCCCAGCAGATAGGAGTCAGGAGGGCTCCACCTGGAAGACAGGAGTCAGGAGGGCTCCTCCAAGGAGAGGTGGAAGCCAAAAACGGCAAGGAGCTGCTTGGGAGTAGCTGTGTGCTAGTGGCTAGCTGTGTGCAAGAGCCATTTTTGAAGGAGTCTGCAGGAGACAGATGTAAGCCTGAAGAGAAAGGCTAGAGAAAGATTGTGTATAGCTGAGAGAGCCAGGAGGCTGAATTTTGTTTATGTGGATGATAGATACTCCTGTGTGGGAAACTTCTGATGTTTTGAACTTTCATTTAAATAAAAGTGGGCTAAAAAGGCCCTGAAAAATAAGCAAGTTGCTGTGTGCGTTTAACCAAGCTCTCTACCATTTGAAGCGAGTTCCCACAGCGTTTACACGCATTTGCAAGTGTTTGGCGTTTGAAACACCGGTAAAATCTACTCCTGAACGTAATTTTGCTGCGTACTACTGTAAACTCAACTGCCTGTAAATGACTGTGTACATGGACACATAGGAAAACATTAAGGAGAGTTCAGGGGCTGCTGAAAAAAACTCAGAAAAGCTCCTGAACGCCAGTTTATCAGCTGCAATGTACATGAGCCCTAAGTCTGTTCATGTTGCACTATGAGACTTTTTTTTCTCTGCACTGGTGGCAGGGAGACTTTTACAAATAAGGTGTTTTTATTTATTTTATAAAAGTTTATTTTCTTAAAACAAATTTTTTTTATAACTTTTTCGTGTCCCGGGGGGCTGATAAGCTCTATGTGATAGCATAGTGCAAGTGACAGGTTCTCTGTAAGGAGACATAAGCGGTCTATTAGACCCCCTAATATCACCCCAGCACTCTGCTGAAGCCTTTTGAGCACAAACTGTGCTCTATTAGTTTTTTCCCTGACCAGAGCAGCCAGAAATTGACAGATATAAATCTGAAAGTGCTCAAAGCTGAGAGCTTCTGTGTTCATTCTGTACTGTAGAGATCAGGGTTGATACACAAGGGTTAAAGCCTGAATCTGGACTTTTTACATTTAAAGGTACCCCAGGCATAGGTAAAATAAAAAATCAGCTCTGGTTGCAGTACTTACCTCCTCTATGACACTGTCCACTACAATAATTTCTCAGTCTTTTTCAGGCTGAAATACTCCCAGCATCATTCAAGCTGGAAGACTGAGGACATTCTGTGAGTGCTGGGCATCATAGACCTGAGGGGGCATTATTAGCAATGAAGTGTAATGATGCAGAGATCAGCACTTATGTTATTATGTTAACACCACTCTTTGCATAACTGAGAACTGCCTACCATCAGAAGATCCAGAGAAGAAGAGAACCCCTTGGAACACATGACTGGCTTGTAGATAAGTGTAAAAATGCTGTGGATTGGTGTTCTCATTTAATGTGTATGCAAACATACTTTTTTTGTTAAAGATTGAGATAGGGGTAGACCCTCTGTCAAGTTTTTATTGATGTCTGTGTACACACTAGGAAGATTCACTTCTGTACATCTTGGTGACCACTATTATCTTTTTTTTTTAAATCAAGAGGTAAGTTTATTGAGCGTAACAAGAAGTCATCCAGAGCTCATAATAGAAGTTATGGAGAAACACAACATGCAAATACACCAGTACATAGAGATGGTGACCACTATTTTCAGGACACATTGAGGTCAGAGTTAAAATTTTGGAGCTGTCACTAGAAGAAGAGGTCTTCCAGTGGGGACATATGTTCTGGTGACAACTGTCTAAAACAGGATTTTCTCTCACTTTGCTGAGATTTCCTCTCATTTCCAGTTGCTTCTTCATGATAGGAAGTGTCCATCTTTAATTTAAAATAATGTTTTGGGTCTACATACACACATTTGGGTAAGGATAACATATTATTATTATTATTATTATTAAGCAGGATTTATATAGCGCCAACAGTTTACACAGTGCTTTACAACATAAAAATGAAGATTTCATACTTGCAGTTTAGCAACTTTAGCATAATTCAAGGAGAGCTTGGCCAGTATACAGTACATGTTGATTAGAGAAATGTTTCATAATGTCTAAGATTATTTAAATTGCAGGGTAATCTATCAAAGATAATAATCATCTTTTTAACACACCAGTTTTAAAATTCATCCAAGGACTGTAAAGTCTTCTTCCAGTTTTTTGTTGTTGTGGCTATTTGTCAGTTTTTGTTCATTGTGTCTGATTCCCTTCTAGTTCACAGTTACATTTAAATTCCTGTTAACTGTGGTTGCTTTTCAAACAACAGAAGAATACTTGTGCCCAAGTGACTGGTATTTATGTAATAGAAACCAAAGTGATGGTTGCCTGATTCATCTATTTTTCCATGTTATTGTTCACTCTATTTATACATTTTTATATTATTCTCCTCTGTGTGTGTAGAACACCTGGCTTTGCAAATATCTATTATGGATGAGAACCAAAACAATGACTTCAGGGTTGAAATCAACTTAGCCACTAACCTAAATCAGACTAGAAAAACATGTTGTGTCAGGAGCAGTGGTGGGAGGTTGTGAAGAAGAACGCTGTAAGGGGAGTGATTATCCAACTAATCTTATGTTATTCTAAGGAGCACCACTAGGAGAACATCTGATGGGAGTTTAAATAAGGCTGATAGTCATCACAGTTCATTTAGGTGTTGGACTGTCCAGCTACTCATCCACTTTTCTTATACTCAGTTTGCAGGCTAGCTTCAGCCTTGATATTAGATATTTATTAATACAACAGAGCAGAACTACTGTATCTTGAAGCAGTAGCTATACTTCCCTGTTGTAGAAGATGGCCAATACAGGCTTACAGCTGTTAGGATTTGCCTTGGCTTGTATAGGATGGATTGGCTTTATAGTGGCGGTAGCTATTCCCCAATGGAAGATGTCGTCTTTTGCTGGAGATGCCATCATCACAGCACAGGTCACCTACGAAGGCTTGTGGATGTCCTGTGTCATGCAGAGTACAGGACAGATGCAGTGCAAAACCTTTGACTCTCTTCTGAAATTAGGCAGTAAGTATCACTTTTCTCATGTATGACTTTATACTTATTTTACTAGATGAGTTCCAGTTCTTCCAATACACACATACAAAAATGTGTATATACCAATTTATCTATCTATCTATCTATCTATCTATCTATCTATCTATCTATCTATCTCTCTGCCATATGTTTATCTTTTAATTACCAATGAATATAAGATGTTGTATAAGCAATCTGTTAGTATTTTCCTCAATTTCTATACCTGTAGAAAAGTAGAACATGTTATATAATATTTAACAGGGCTGTACTGGCTTACGGTAAATAATTATAGTAGCATGTCACTTCATAAATTAAAGCAGAAGAACATTTGACCAATATAGTTGGTTTTCTGGATTTACACATTGGAACTTGTTTGTTGTGAACCCTAAATATAAGCGTATCCTACCATCCATTCACTGCCAGTCTTGACCTTTTGGGCATTATTTATTAAGTGCCAAACAAGCAGTGCAGAAACCAATGGAGCCAACCAGCACATTTAATTTTACACATTATTTGATGAAATCTGACTTTTTTCCATGAATTACGATGCATCATTTTTTCTTTTCACCATGTAAGCAAAATTATCCTATGAAAAGTCATGCAGTAGTTGGAGAGTTACAGATAAGTTGACTTTGGCCTGTATACTAATGGAATCATTTGATGCCTCTTAATGCATAGTAAATGGTTTCTCCAGTAGACTTATGTGAGCTAAATGAGATATTTCAGGTTATTGACAATTATTTGCTTATGCCAAGTAAACTACATAAACAGTATGAGAAGTTAACCTAAGTCATCCTATGGCAAAGCTACCTATATGGCAAAGTTACCTTGGCTAGCAGCAAGAAAGGCCATTACTCATGATGAGCTGATAAATCTAAACAATTGCAGCCATGACTAAACATGCACCATCTTGGGATGCCAAAATTGATCATAGCTAATTTATTCTATGTTCTTTCATGTAACTTCCTCTGTTGGATAACCTTTTTTTGCCTTCATCAATTTACTGTAAACACTGAAACTGACACTGAAAACTGATCTGACACTGAAAATTGGCCTTCCTGTCTAGACATTAGCTAAAAGTCAGATATTCTACTCAAAATTAACTCTTTGCTGCTGGTGTTTTAAAAATTAAAGTGCATGTCCAGCCAAACCTTTTGTGTTGATAAGGTTTGGATTTATTCTGGAAGGGATAGAACCCTTGTCTTTATTTGAAGATATCCCAGGCTCCATTTCAAAGATTTTCTGACAGTAAATAAGAGAAATTCTTTCCATCACAACCATCCTGGATAACAGTAAAAGCTCAGAAGTGGTTCTGATCCTTCTCTACTCTATAAAAAAAAAGTTTTGGTTGGACATACAGAATGAATGCAGTAGCTAAACAGTGCCATTTGGTCAAATTGCACAATTCCCTACAAATATAACCTTAGCATTTATGGTGTCCAAAGTTATACTTTTGGAAAACCCAGGATGTATTGACCTTCCTGAAAAGTAAACATATCATTCCTAGGAGAAGGTTATGTTTGTATGAGTTGATGATTACGAGAACGTTTTGAAACCGAGTTGTTAAAAATGCCCATTAAAGTATGGTGACAGTTAACTGGAAGTTCGGAGTTTTCAGCACTTCAAACCAATCTGTATAGAACCAAATCAATCTTTGTTATGGCAGTTCACCTGGGAGAAGAAGGGAATGAAAAATACTAGCTCATCTGATTTTATTTGACATTGTTAAGTGTGTCCACAAATTGCCAGGATTTAAGAATGTCTTTTATAAATTGTTCTGATTCTGTAGCATGCATTTTCATATATGTCCTTATGCAGTGATCTATTATATCAGATATTCTGATTCAAAACCCTTCAAATTCATATATATCCTCATCTACAGCAATCTATCACATCAGACATGCCAGTGCAAAAGAAATGAATGTGATTTATCACTTTCATGTACAACAGGACACCTCTTTGTAGCAGTATTTCTTGCATCTCCCCATTCTGCCAACTTCTGGGTCATGATAGGAGATATCTAGCAGGCAGCTACTCTGTAGGTGGATACTGGAATTTTGTCTCATTTATTTAGATTAATGATGTCCCTTGGACACTATTATATCAGATTGGATGAGTACAGCCCAATTCAGAATAACTATGAGTCAAGGTCCCACTGTTGCAAGTTAGGCGTTTTCTGACAGCATCCCTCTGTGTTGCTATAAAGGCATCACCGCATTCTATGCTTACTTAACAAACATACTTCTGTGAGAAGACATGGTCAATATACACTCAGCAATGCTGTCACTGGCTGTGCCACTATGGGTATGAAGTTTAAGTAGCTTATTTGCCTTCTCTGGTACATCCCTCCCCTCCTTTAACATGATTTTGTTTTAAATAAAGCCTTTCTCTTTTCATTACATCCTTTATTTTAGACCCAGTGATCTTATTACTGGGTCTCTGTGCTTATCTGTACAATGCAGGCAGATCATGGCTGGTTGGAGGGACTGTACATAGATTCCTGAAAACAGCAGACAGTCCTAGGTAATGCTCACGTGTGATGCTGAGCCTCCATATTTGAAATAACTGAAATCTAATGATTGAAAGGGATGGGCTAGGAAATGTCAGAGAAAAACAAGGGCTAGATGACACTGGACAATCTAGGAAGCCAGGATTGAGGCATGTTCTATCTGATTTGCTGAAGCTGCTAATGCATACTGTGAGAAGCTGACAGTGTACAGTGAAGTCAGAGTAAGCAATTTTAATGTGGGAGAGGAGCGTGTACAAATGTCTGAAGGCCAGGCTGGAGTTCAAGTCTTTCTATTGCACTGCCTCAACAGATGCAATGGTAGCATACATCTGAACAGCAGTATTTGCTAATTGTCAGCAGCCTGTTTTGGCTAGTTTATAATTGTGTTACATTTTATTCACTCTGTTTTCCTTTTACCTAATGTGTGCTGCAACACATTACAATGTGCTGCCTGTCTCTTTTTTTTAAGGCATGTACCAAAACAGCCTATTCGTGTGAATTGTAAGGATACACAGTTCATGTGTTGAGAGTGCATTGACTAATGCAACCCAATGTGTTAAAAACGCCTAAACCTGCTGCCTTCTGCCTAACACAAATGTGCAATGGCAATAGGGTGGGTCCAAAAGCCCAAGTCCCGCACATATGTGTCAATGGGAGGCTGATGTTTCGATGCAGCACAGAGACCGAGCTGTCAAACACTAAGATTTGGTAGCTGGCTTTCAATCATGTGACCACTGTCATTCACAATGGTCACATGATCACCAATCCTTCCTGCCCCCTGGACATTCAGAAGGGGTTAGAGTGTATGCAAACCCTAACAATGAACTTCTTTTATTTTCTAATTCTTGGTTTCTTAAATATACCTTTGGAAACATTTTGGTATAACTTTTTTATAACTGCAAAAAAAGCTGATTTTATCATAAATTCAGAGCTGTCCTGTGCAGCTTTCCTGTCTTATCTCCAAGAGCCCTCTTAGTTCTTATCTTGGAATACAAAATATTAGCCTTTTTGTTGGAGGGATCTGAAAGTAGGAGTTGTTGAATATCATAGCAAAAGACAGCTGGGCAGGGCTGACACCACTCAGTCCACAACAGCTCACAACAGAGCTTAAGATCTAAGTTCATATCTGAGATCACTTCTGAGAGATTAATGGGTATTCTTCTTTACTTTAAACCCTGGTTCACACTGATGCGGTGCGGAATGCTCAGTGTTTTCTTTGCAAATTCCGCACCGCATCAGAGTTGCACCCCGTTCATGCGAACCACTGCTGGTGTGTATGTTAAGTTAACAACACCCCAAAAGCGGTTTGCAAAACGCGGTGCGATGTGCAGAATCGGATCGCATAGGTGTGAATACCTATGCGATCCAATTCTAGTGCGGACCCAAAAAAGGTTCCTGCACATTTTTGGTGCGGGTGTGGTGCAAATAGAGTCATACAAAATGTATGGCTCCAATCGCACCGCACACAAATCGCATGTGATTTTTACAGGAATGTGGTGCAGTTTCTGTGTGAATCACATATGATATGCCAAACCACACATATGTGAACCCAGGCTAAAGGTATAAAACATAAACAAATGTGCACATGTTGCACAGATGTACTGTCTATGTGTGTGTTTTTTTCCCATTTTATCTTAACTTACTTTTTAAGCTTACGCTTCTCTGCTGCATTTATCTGCTAAATTCAAGCAGACTTCTGTAGTCATTCAATATTTTTTTTTTGTACTAAATTCAAACTCTAAAGTAAAAATATAGCCTGGTAAATGTGATAGCCCCAAATGAGACATTTTTGTGGAACTTCTCATTAGTGGATATTGGCATTGGAGCTTCTGAGTGACTAAGAGTTGGCCTGTACATTTAAGTTGCACAGAGCACCCTCAAACCCAGAGTGTGTTATGCAAATACATAGAAAGTCAACATGATGGCCACCTTCTTCTGCCTCTTGTGGTTCTCAGCACGATCACCCTTTACAGTGATAGGCCAAGATTAAGGTGCAAAAAGCAGGGTGGGGCAGCCAAAAGCTCCATCTACCTAGTCTAAATTGTTTTTTTTTTTTTGTATTGGTAGAGCACCACAGGTAGTGGGAGGGTACAGATTTATAAGATGTCAGGTGACGATTGGTCACAGGACTAGAAAATTAATTCAGATTGCTGATTATATTTAATATTCTTAACAGTTTGTAATTTTAAAACAGCATCCTCCTTTTTAATTGGAGCATTCACCAAACATTTATTACACGTAATTCTTCCTGGTGCATGTCCTTCAAATTGCAGTGAATGTTTGATGAAAGTCACATTCACCACCTTATAAATATGTGCTTTTTTTTTCATGTAAACCAATAGTTTCTAAACTGCAGATGTGGCTTTTTTCTTGCCTTTATCTGGCCCTTGGGGCACCATTCCACCAAATGCCACCAATGATAGACCACCATTCCACCAACTGACACAATGCTCCCTTCTGACGCCATCAGTGGAGTACTATT